CGAAAAGAAAGCGACGAAGTATTGTGTACGGTTTCGGTCACTCGTTATGGTCCGCAATCAGTTGCCAGCGCAAGGCTCCCGATTGCCAGGCGATCCCTCGTCGATTCGCGTTTCCCGCGGCCGCGGTGGAAATATCGCGATTACGTAAGCGCGAAATAAATTCCGCCGCGTGTTCTGAATTGTGACTGAATAAATTCCAACCCCCCGACGGGGAGAGGTGGGAGGGATTTAGCCGGGTGCGTGGTGGCAGCTAACGGGTGAAAATGTTTCATTATACGAACGCGGCTGTTATTTATCGCCTGTAAACCGGTGAATTGTAACTTTTAATAATTTAAATGGCGAGATCAACGTCCCGATGTGATCGCCACGTCCGCGTTTCCGTTCCCACTTACTCGTAACACCGCCCGCGGCAATTTAAACGATACGCAAGTTTATTTGGTTTCACCTGTGCCCGGTTTTTTTTTCCTTTTTTTTTTTTTTCGACCTTTTTCTCGCGCTCTCGCGAACAAACGTACTCGAACGTTTGCTTATTTTGCCGACCCGATGTAAATTACTTGGTTCGTGATTTAATTATACACAATCACTGGGTAAATGTTTGATGTTGTTTGCTCGATATTCTCCGATTTTCTAGTCAGTTTTAACTTTTCGATTTCCTGCAAGACACAGTAGTGCCCACTAATGGATTCAGATTTCATCATTGTATCGAATTTACGTACGGAGAAGAGGAATGAAGAGTGAAATAAAAATTTCAATTTACTTTCCTCGTTAAAATATTATCATAGCGTGGTAAAATTAAGGTGAAATGACTAATAAATATGCAGTGGGTTACTGGTGTCTAATAGAATGAACAATGTTTGTGTATATATCGTTTAAAAAAATTCATTAAATATTCTTAGGAGTAACTATACTTTCTAATGAACTCTGACAGAACGAATAAGGTTCTCCTAAATTATCACGATTAATTCAGTAATATTTATATTTATATAATATTTATATAAATTAATATATGTATATAATTATATTTTCAAATTATATCTTATACTTTACATTTGATACAATAATAGATTAATGTAGATGTACATATCTCTTTCCCAATGAAATTGCAATGAAAGTTACAACTTTTCTAGAGTCAAATTGTCGACTATGTTTCGAATTTTACTTTTCAATTCATCTGGGTTAATTGTAACAAACAATTGAAATCTACCATTCGTTGATTTTATAGAAAAAAACGTCAAGTGTTTAGCTTTTAATTATTAATTCCTCGTTGATTTATAAACTTCATCAACGTTCATTCTTGTTAACAGAGATCAACCGAAATGATTACTTCGGATTATTTAATAATAACGTGCCTGTTATTGCCAAATAAAATCTGTTTTGTTATGCCTGTGTCTTTAGTATTCTATTTCGCACATAAACGTACCAATTCTATCCAACGACGTGCAATTACCACATTTAATTTGGACAGCAGATTGTTCGTTGCACCGAAGTTTTCAACGCTTGTTAAAACTAAAGAAAAAAAAAAAAAAAAAAAAAAAAGAAAGAGCAAAAAAAGAAAAGAAAAGAAAATACATTTTACGTTTATAATTACGAAATCATTAGATGCTCCTTGTGCAATGCGAAGCAAACTCGATTAAAGTTACGAGTCGGTTACTTCGGCAAAGCTTTCCCGCCGCTTAATTTACTACTGACATTAATTATTATTTCAATTAATTACGAAACGTTCGTAGCGCTCTTAAAGCTGTCCGGCTCTGGTTGCAACTGGCTCATCTTCCACGAACGTCATTATCAGTTTAAATTAGAAAATCCGCTAGAAAGTGTTTCGTAGAAAGAACTCGTAGGGAATTACCCGCACGAGCAAGGATGTGTTTCCTCGTTCAGATTGTAGTAAAACGCTCGGGGAACAAAATCTTTTTACTTCAACTCGAAACGAGAGCGATGAATGTGTGAAATCAGTGTAACATTCCACCGCGTAACGAGCGCACGTGTTAACAGAACAAGTCATGCCGTCGATCACTTTGAAAATTTAATTCTTCCTCCTAACCGTTTGTTGCAAATTTGTTTTGCACGCGATTCAATTTGTTGCATTTAATTACTGTATCGTGTGATTTTCGTGTTCCTGCTTAATTTATTTGATGCGTGTTTTTTTTATTTTAAAAGAGCAGTGTCACTACTGTTGGCTACTTTTGATTAAAAAGAAAAAAATGTTACCATTTCTATATGGGACAGACCTGTTGTATCTAATTTATCTCTTAATGGACACATAATCTACTAATACTATAATAATCATAAACTAGTAACTGAATAATTAAACAAAAATATTAATATTTTTTTTGTAACATGTTCGTATATTGTGTAAAATATGTGATTGAATGGTTTTTGAAATTTGTATTAACTTTCAGTTAATATTATTATTGTATATTATAAAATAATAATACTATATAATATACAATAATAATACTAACTGAAAGTTAATATATATATAATACTATATAATATACAATAATAATACTAGTTGAAAGTTAATACAAATTTCAAAATAGTATTTAATAATCCCCATCAGATAAAAATATAAAACACGAAATAAAATTAAATATCTTAAAGATTTATAACATAATGAAAATTATTATGACCTATGACCTCACTTTAGGATTAATTCAGTGTCAAAAACTTGTCAATTTCTTTTACTGACAATTTTCCCAAAAAGATTGCACGTGATGTTGTATCAGTGACAAACAGTACATTTCGAATGATTTCATTGAAAACAATTTATAGCAATTTACGTTGCATATGTGTTTTTTTTTTTTAATTTTCACATAAGATTTATAAATATTCGTAAACGCTTTGCTTCTATTATAAATAATCTTATAATAGATTACTTGTAAGTAATCACAATTATAATTAATTATAAGCAATCCTCTAATTGACGTAAATTACGAACAAAAAATGACTGTTTCAAAATAATAATTAATCTAAATTTTATCGAGAGTCTAAATCGATATTTACAACTGATTAATAATAAATACGATGGAAAAATTAATAACACGAGTGATTAATATCAAAAGTGAAATATAACGTGATATTATTTCACGTTACATTGTACAAAAACATGAAACATTTTGTTTCAACAACAATAATACTGAATCGCATGTATTTTACGTATATCTTCGTACATCCTCGTTTCAAAGCAAATGACAATTCTTAAAAATGATAACAATCAACCATATTCAAGGCATTATCTCGTCAGTGGCAACGTTCGTTTTTTTTTCATCGGATGTTTCACAAATCTACAAATAACAAAGAGTCGTTAATCACGCAACAAATGATACTCCACAGGAATAACCAGATTCAACCGAGCGGTAAATTGTTTCTCTCTCTTTTCTCTTTTCAAACAAAAATTTCCCAACATTTCCCCCCGTTTTTTTTTCATCGATATTTCCACAGCACCGATTGTTCCGTTTTCAACTGTACAAATTTCATCGTGCAACAGAGAAGCACCGCGCGCGCAATTAACCAGCTGCGCGTAATGAATATAAAATATAAAAAGTACCGGCGGATTATTCCCGGGAATCTGAAATCCCCGAGTTGGAGGATGAGTTTAACATTTCGTAATCTATTAGCATCAATCACGTGTCAGAAACGCCGGGTAAATAACATTATTCAGATACGTATCGCCGGCGCGAGTCGTCATAACAATTACCGCTCCCATTGAACTTTGTCCCTTCGTCGTTACAGCTTCATCAGCTTTGCACGCTGCGAGAGGATTTTAATTATTACACGCGCGCGCAGAAACGTATGTATGTATGTATGTATGTATGTATGAATGAACGCGCGCGTTCATTTGTTTCGTCGTTTTGTGCCGTTGTTCAACGTTGTTTGGAACGAAACTATTATACCTCGCCGCCCCTCCACCGTCCCCCTCCCCTCCTTTGTTTTTCATCGAACGAACAGAGTTTATCCTTTCTTTCATATTAATCATGCTGAATTATCTCGCCTACAACGAGGTGATACGGTGTTGCACGCTGTTTGCAAACGAGAAATGCATATTCTTGTTGCTACACGCTATGCGCGACCTCTCGCGCAATGTTTGTTTTCAAAATTGCTATGGCAAATTTAAAAAAAAGAAGAGAAGAAAGGAGAGAGAGAGAGAGAGAGACAAGATAACGAAAATAAATTAACTCGTGCAAAGTAGAAATACGAAAGGGTAAATAAATACGAGTGCCACGATCCTTTTGAATTTCAGGAACGTGAAAACGTGAAAGCGGGCTTTTTTTTAATTTGCTTTTGATTGTAAATTTTTACGGTGGAAAGTTTCGAGTGTTTGTAAAATACAGGTGCCAGTTTTGGCGAAGATGAAGACTTTTTTTTGCAACGACGAACAGATTAAATTGCTTTTGTGAAAATAATTTTCAATGTCGCGGAAAACTAGCAATGCTTTCTAAACAGTACAAAATCGAAGACTTCGAATGAAGTTTATTGTACTAGTTTGGTGCATTTCTGTCTGGTATATCTGAAAACTGAGAGTTTTAGATTCTAATTAATACTTTATTCAATTAATATAATTAATATTACTACTGAATCCTCTTTTTCATTAATTCTAAAATTAATTATCCAAAAATTAAATTTTTTTGTAATTTATTTATTCAAAAATTAGATTATATTTTTGCATGTATTATCTGATGAATCTCTTCGCCCTCTATAAACAAATATTACACTGTTTATATTCTGAAGCTATTATTTATTATTAGAAAACTTTGCAAATTCATGCTACGAGTATAGTTTGAAAAATAGAACGTAGATAGAAAATATTTTTATCTAGAAACGAGGGGAATTGCAAGTAGTATCATATTTTGGACTAGTATCTATATAGAAGTAGTATCTATATAATTTTACGTGCTATAATCTGTTCATTTTCTGCATTTTCAAAATTTCCATAAATACACAAGAATTTGTAGTAGCTACAATTATTAGTATTTACCAGATATTTGTTTCGATGTATTAGCGAATATTATTGGTAACTATTAAACTGATGTAGTTTGGTATGACTGGAGAAGAAATGATAGAAATTAAAATTTTAAATGACAATCGTAAAATTGAAATTCAATATATAAATAATTATAAAATTTATATTCAATATATATATAATAGTATATTGAAATAATATATATATATAATGTACATATCGTATATAATTTTATATGATTTTATTATTTTATTATGAAATTATAATATAAATCTGTAAATTACAAAATCGAATAAAGAACTACTATATTTTAAGACGGAGCTAAGTGGCGGCCTGGCGAGTCCACTGCATCGATCTCCCCACTTTCGCTCAGTAGCGAAATCAATAAACTGAAAGAGTGGGGCTCGTGCACGTAGAGGAAACTTCAATGTAGTGGAGAGATCGATGCAGTGGAGGGGATAGCGCTAGCGATGAGGAAAGTAGGGGCAAGAGCCGCCAGTTAGCCGGCTCTGTCTTAAAAAAATATAAAATAAAAAAATAATAATTCGATGATGCACAGTATACAAACAATAGAAAACTTGTCGTTTTCAAGCATAAGGACGTTGTGCGTATTTTACAAGTGTAACCAATATATCGTTATACAATGGTGAAAGAATTAATTATAATTATTACAATTAAATTATTTATTTTCCTAAAGTCATGTTACACGAATGACTACACGTTGAACAAAGTTCTTGCGGAAATTAAATTTATCTTTATTATGAATCAAACCCTACATAATAATAATACGATTTGAGGTTTTAAGTTTGCCTGGAGCTAAATGCACAATTAATCTCGTATGACGAAAACAATGCGCGCAACTTAATTAAATTACTAACTAAATCTACAATCGAAACCGCGTGTATGAAGTTTCACAATGTGCGTATGGTTCTTTGAATTAGTATTATGTAATATCGTAGTTGTGCGTGGGTCCAAAACATCGCGATCAAATAGCTTTCAAAACGCGACAAAAAGTTGCGATGAAGTTATTGTTCATTTGTCATTTATGGTTTATTGCCACAATTGGAACTGATTGTCAATTTTATTATCTTAATGCAGCGTATCGTTTACGCTTTTGTAATATTATTAATACAACGTTATTAGTCAGAGTTCATTTTTTTGTTTTTTCTTTCTTTCTTATCGAGAGTCAGCTATGACTTATGGATTAACTTTAATCTGATTTATTCCAGTCATGTTCGGTTCGTTTGCATGCTCCTTTCAGGTCGTAAGTTGAGTTATAGGGTGTAAATAGCTGTGATGCGCTAACTAGAAATTCTAAATGTCCTGTTCTCCGTTATGACTTTATGACTTCTGAATTTATGTTCGTAACGGTTTCCAACGGTACGGAAAGAAGCTGTCAGCAGACACTGATCCGCAGCTGGTAAAAAATTCATGCGTGGTCAAAACGGAGGGAGAATGAAACGGTAATAACTGTAAACGCTAATTAGGATAGTAATTCCACTTTAAAATGACAGTTTGACGCCTTGGCAATGAGAAAGAACGCAACGCACGTTGATTAAAAAATTCTCTCAACAGCAAATTCAATTCAATTTCAAGTAACATAACTTTATATATATTTATTTATTTGTTACATTCATGTATATGTATGATCCATTCATTATATTATTTATTACACACATAATTGATATTATATCCATTTATTTGATTATACGATTAATTTATTATATTATTTACTTCATATTTATTCATTATCATTCGCTGTGTATATAAATATGTATTTATATTTATATTTATTTCAATTTCGACTTCACGATCATAAAATAGCACCTGATTTACACATCAGTGTATTAACCATTAACAATTAAGTACTCGTTTAATATCTAAGTAATGTCGCCTCTATTCATGCTTTCCCGCATTTCACTCACACTTCAGCCTGTATTTCTTAACACCAGCTATATTACATTTACGTTTACATGTACTCTCTATATTTGTATTTTATCCTGTTACCTCTTTTCTTTCTTTGATTCCTTATTCATTCTTTCATTCTTTCTTTATCTCTCTCTCTCTCTCTCTCTCTTCTCTCATCCTCTCTCATTCTATCTTGCAATATTTCTTCAATGCTCAACTTTATCCTTCCTAACTCTAGAATAAATTTTTATATTGTGATGTATGCAATTCTAGCAGTGCATACTGTCGTATTATAGATGGCACACTATATAGTAAATAGACTGCGAACTTTCTTTAAACTATATATCTTCGATAATACAAATAATGAGATATCGGTAGAAAATTATATTGCACACTAAATATTATAAGAAGAACTGTGTTTTTATATATTTTACGTATTTTCTCATGTTGTTTGAATCCTGCGTACTTTGAAATTTGCCAAGCACAAGTGCATAAAAATCCGCAGTAATAAAATGTAATGTCAGTGTAGAAGTTCCAAAGTGGTAATAATTATTACAACGTAACAGTTACAACAGACGAAATTTCTAATTTATGTGCAACGAAATATACCATATACATAGAGGAAAATGTATTCAGTATAATTCGTAGTAATATATTGTAAGTCCTAATCGAACGAAGTAAATAAAGTAACAAGTAAACAGAAAACAAATTATATGGATATCGTGTAATTTATTGTTGTTATTGTCATCTTGCTAGAATCACTCTGCCATTGTCCGTGGACAGAAATGACCTGACCTACTTTCAAAGAAATTGATTGCGGGAGAAGAAAATGGGTCAATAGTATAAGAATATTATTCGAAGGAGACAGTAATAGGTCAAAATGGTCTTCGACAGATCGCATTAAATGAAGGAAGATTCCATAACGACGAGCACGATTGAGAATTTTGTGGAAAATTTCCTTTTCTATGAAGATGAAACCCTTTGAATTTGAAAATAACAAGTTTCCACTTATTGCTTTTTACGTACAAATTAATATTTGATAAGATATGTGTTTATTATTTTTATTATTATTATTGTATCATTCCAGATCTCGTACAATTGTTATATAATAAAAAAGCTGAGGATCTAATTTAAACGCTAGTGTCACTAAACGTTTATACATTTCTCTTTTAGAAAACCAAACATCGTTTTCGGTTGCAACTATTAATTTAAAAATTTCAAAAATTTATTTGAACGCGAGATCATTGACGTTAGAATAAAGATATATTCATTCAATAGTTATTTTATTATTTTTACTGTTACGTGACTTTAAATCTTGTGCAATTTTTTTTATAAAATAAAAAATCTAAGAAATTTACTTCAAACTTAGCCATATCATATTAAACACTTTTATTTACATATTTTTCTTTTAAAAAAACTAAACATCATTTTCAATTGCAACTAGTCAATCTATCAATTTAAAAATCTCAAAAATTTATCCAACGTGATAACGTTATTCATAAACGTTGGAACAAAAGTAAGGTAACACAATTTAATAATTGTGCAGTATCTAGTAATTTAAAATAATTTCAACGAGAAATGAATATTCAAGTTATATGTTGAAAAATTCAGATAAGTGCATTGTAGTGTATTTTATGGAAACTATTCGCGTTACTAGTTCCTGGCGTTTTTCTCGCAAATGATAGATTTGATTAGATAAGGTTTCATTATTCTTTGTACCCAATGCAATCAATTACTTTTATATCAATAATTTTCTGTGCAACACGATGGCCTGAATAGATTCTTTTCATTTTACCACGCGGTTTTTCGCGCAGTGACGAAGCCATAAATGTTTTTGATAGCTACGCTCTCTCTTTTTTTTTTTTTTTTTATTACTATTATACTACAGCGGTTTTAACAAATGACTACACGAGAGTTAAAGCTTTTGTTAAAATACGAAAATTACGTGAATATTTTATAACGTAACATTTATTAGTAGGTGAAGTCATAAAACTGTTCTTAGTATTTTTCTATGTATATTTAATTAAATTGAAATTGCAATTCCAACAAATGTAACAATACCTCGAAGATTTCAATACTCTTGAATATTTTCACCCGGAGATAGCGGATATAAAATTCATAAAAAGAGGAATTCAATGATATCAAATATTGAGTTCATTTCCAGATGCTAATTATAACTATTTATTAATCAATTAGTTGTCAAAAAATATAAAAAAAGGTCATAATTTTCAATTCAGAAATACATTATTTATAGGTATTCCATGTAACATGATTGAAAAATTGCTGAAAAAGAATTGAAAACGTTTTCTAACTTAAGAAAGCTTCGCATTAACTGTTGAGAAAGAAGCACTTGTTCAATGTGTATATTTTGTGAAAGAGTCATTTCTTCAACGAAATTAGTTCTATTATTTAAAAGAGGAATTTATTTCAATTATAATAATTGAATTGACTCGTAAGACAGTTGGACAGAAGATTTATGCGTATTATTTTATTAAAAGAAAAAAAAAAAATTCTGATGTAACTTATGAGGGATCTCACTGTATTCACATTAGTGATGGACAGAAAAAAGTTTAATCCTTTCGCGGCGATTCTTGAAAAGCGTCAATTTTAATACAATTCTCAGACACGTTCGTTGCCACCGATTTTTCGCCGCATGATGTTTCAATCCTATTTTTATTTACAGAATACACTAGACGAAGTTAGAACACGCTAAAATGCAGGACACTCTGTATGTAAATAGACTTTACTATCTCCGTCACATCTTGACATACCAACTCCCCCGAGCATTATGTGCGAGCATGTAATTTCCTTAAAACACTTCGCTTACAGAGACTAAACCTCGAACTATTTGATCGAAATAGATTAGGAAGTTCGAATAAGGATGCAGAAACGAGCTAAGGTTAGATACAAGGATAAGCGCATGAATATGAATTAATTCGTTTCGCGCGCCTTCATCGCGTTACACATTTGATAACGTAATAGAGGGTACGTCGAAAGTGTTCCGCGGCTAACGTCATACGACAGATTCGAGCATGTTCGTGTACTCTCGGCAAGTTCGCGTCATTTAAGGCAGAGGCGGCGAACTTCTTCCCCGCACGAATTACTAAGTCAGTCAGCCGGTTCCTACACCATGAAAATTAATTCCCACTCTGTTTTATAGCCGGCCGTACAACCTACTTTCTTCTTCAATTGTAGCAGCTGCACTAAAGAATTTGTTAGGTATATACCTAATGCGAGTATCGTGGCGGCGACACGCTCTCAACGCAGTGGAGAGATCGATGCAGTGGAGGGGATAGCGCTAGCGATTAGGGAAAGAGTGGGGGACGGCTCGCGGTCCGCCAGTTAGCCACCTCTGACTTAAAACGTTACGTACACCGACCAAGTTGAAAAAATTCTATTCTTTCGAATTCTTTCTATAATACTCTGGAATAATTTAGAAAATAATCAACTCGGAGTTTTCGCCGGCATCGAATAGCAACCAAAAGTAGTCTAATTTTAGAAACTTTGGAAAGAAGCTTTTAAACTGCAGTGTGTCGCTTGTGTCGCGTTAAAAACAGAAAAAAGAGAAAAGTGTTACGCTGCGTGAAAATAGAAAAAGGAGCAATGCAGGCTCGAAAAGGTCAAAATCGACCGATTTTATTAACTTGGCACGCTGATTTGTGACGACGAGAGCGAGACGATCAGAACGAAGCATGGAGATATATAATATTACGTTGAGGTAAATAGACTTCTACGCTTCGTTCTAGCATCGTCTAGCTCTCATCGTTGCAGTGTGTTCGTCACAAATCAACGTGCCAAGTTTTATTCGACCTTTGGCCTCTTGGAGCCTGCATTGCTCCTTTTTTGGCAGCTGCGTCCCGCGCATTGGCGCAAACCGATCGCTTCTCTATCGACTCCTTTCCGTGAGGCAAAGGTATATTGATCAGATTAGGTAATATATAGTTCGTTTTGTCTTTGACAACGACACGTGCGACTTTACCGTGTTGGATGCAGTCGGCAGTTCCTGTACGAGGTATTTGAGTATGTTATGCTTCAATTTATCGCAAAATGTATTGAGCGTAATATATCGTAGATGATACTATATACTGATATACTAATGCAATATAATATACTAATATAGCATAACACTGCGTTTTATGGTGTTGAATATATACATTATATATGTATACCCGTGATGTTAACATAATATTAATATACACGTAGTATTGATGCATTATAATATACATGGTATAATGTACTATATTATAATATGGCATAAGGTTGCTTTTTGTGATAAAGTTTAATTGACTCAAATGATAAAACTATAAAATATAATATATTAAAATTTATATAATGTAACTATATTATAACATGATATATAATATAAAGTTACATTTTATTAAGTTTAACTGGCTCAAATAACAAAGCTCATATAATACAGTATATATATATATATATATATATATAATGTAATATAATAAAATTATGTATAATCTAATATTACAGTAACATCGTATTATATTATATTAATATAATACAATACAATATATAATGTAACATAATAAAATTATGTATAATCCAATATTACAGTATTGTATTATATTATATTAATATAACAATGAAGAAATATTTTAAATTCTACAAAAAGGAAAATCCAGAAATCATGTGTACACGTTATATCCGTGTAGCGAATGTTTCAAATGAACGTTAAATTCACTTCGTAACCTCGCGGGGAAGTAATAAAAGAGGGGGAGAGGGAATTCTAATTCTCTGCGACTTTGATCCGCGCATAATGGAGTTTGAATATCCAAGAAACTTCAAATCAGAAAATTACGCTCGCCGAGATTCGTCCAGCAATTTCCGGCGATCGCCGACGAGTGTGCCCCTCATGAAAATCCAGGTGCCGAGTCTTATTGGAATTGGCGAACGATCGCGACTACGTTTCGATATCGTTCCGCAATTTATAAATCGAGCGGAAAATGGCAGAGCTTTCCGAATAGAAGTTTCTCGACAAATTCCGCAACCGATGGCGGGGAGAGTATCGAAAGAAAATTTTGTGTAACCTCGACGCCTGAGGGTTGGATTGTGCAGCGCGTTTTCCCGGGTCAAACTTTCATTTCTTCCTTCAAGTCGCTACGAAATCACACGAATATACACACTTTACGCACCATGTTAACCATTTTCCAATAATTGCGCGTTTCGTAAACAATATGATTGATTTTTGTGAGTTTCAGTACAAGTGCAATATACGAGAATGGAATGGTGAAAGATGTAAAGAATATTGTTGATTAATCGAAGAAAAGCTTATGCAACGCGCGAATGAACTTTCAACGCGAAGTATTAATTAATTAATCGACCATTTGGTGCACCTAGCAAGTGCATCTTCGATACACCGTAAAATTCGTATCACGAACGCGAAGATCGAACCGGTACATTTAATACGGAACATTACGCTTTTTACCTGTGTTACGGCGTATGCTCAGTTGATACAGTAACGAAGAAAAGTTTAAGACGACCTATCCTCTTGATTACGGTATTATGATCCTTGTGGTATTATTACATAAACGATTTTTTTTTTTTTTTTTAGAATTTTTACAATTTTTCAATTACAATTATAATCAGAATTTTGCAATAACGAATGACTAAAGACTCACTCAGTTTGTGAAAATTTAGAGAGAAATCATTAGTTTTCTTTTTTTTTTTGTATTGCTTATAATACCTCACGATCAGAATGTAGAAAAATTTTTCTGTAACTGTGAAACGTGTTACGAGTTATTTGTCACTGAATGTTCGTGAGAAAAATGTACTTTTAAATTTTTATTCGTTGCTATATGTTCCTCTGATTGTATGCTATGTATTCTGTGATATTAACTTGCCAAGTTAATATCTTTCGGTGTTAGATGGAATCTTATAATTTATATATGACTTTTTACTATATTTTTAGATATGATTACTAGTTAGCTAATACATATTAATATTATTATTATTATATAATGTAGGTATACATTATAACAGGTAACACATATTAATATTGCAATAATATTGGACAATAGTGCAAATCAGTGATTTGATTATTTCATATATTTTCTGAGAAAAATGCACGTTGACAAAAATGGACATAAAATAATAGTAAAACAGAAATTCAATTTATTATAAAATTTCTTAATAAAATTAAAATAAAATGTCCAGAAATTAAGTTTGATGATAAACGAATTGATAATGTTCAAGGTCGAATTATTAATCTAATTAATTCAATAATTACTATAACATGTATAAGAAATTTTTGAGAACTAAATGTTTTAAAAAATCAATTGGGAAATTGATTAATAAATAAATAAAAAATCTTAATCATAATGATAATGATATTGATAAATTAAATAAAAAATGTCTTGTTAAGGAAAAAATATATGCAAATTATCTAAAAAAAATTCATAAATGAGAAATATTAATCTTAAAAAAATTATTATATTAGAAATTGATTTTATTGATAAAGAGAATTCTTTAAATAAAATCAAAATAAATTTATTAAATGATATATTAAATCGCGAAGGAATTAATCAATAATTGTTAGAAAAAATAATTTGTGACATTCAATTAAACTGAAAATTGTAAACGAAATAAATTTATGGATCAAATCTTCCGAATTAAGATTAATTTCATTTTAATATAAATTTTTAAATTTAAATTTATTTATATTTAATTTCGCCGTTTTCACTGCGATTGTAACTCCTACCAAATCAAAGTTCACCGTAGCCAACGGGTTAACGGCAACCGTTCTCTTCGAATGTCGTGAAAGTGCAATAACTGAGTAATTAAACCAAGGCCATCGATAAAATCAAACCTTTTTCTAATCTAATGTTAGGAAAGTTACAAACGTGTCGTTCAAAGTTCAATAATATCATCGTCGTGACGCGATATCTTTTTGTTCGACAAAAAAATCTTGGTACATCGGTTTCATCGCGACGGAATAGCACACGGATGTTTAGCGGACGATTCGCGAATGATTCTTGCCTAATCACGGGAATCCTTTGTTTTTGTGGGAAACAATCAGCGACGAGGGAAAGAGAGGGAATGGCATTCAATTGAAGTAGATCAGGAACGTGGAAGTGGTGCACGTGGTAATCGGCCCGAGAGAGATTTGTTGAAACACCAGCATCGACCACTGGAACGCATCGTCGGTATCTTCCTCGCTCATCATTTGCAATTTTCTTTCGACGTGCAGTTACTTTTCATTAGCAGCGTCGAAACACACACACACACAGTCGGTTATCAGGAAATTGACTTTCACGATCGATCGGAATTGTTAACTTCATCGCGCTGAAGTGGTTCTGAGGCTCACCCCGGAGAAGCGAGGACGATTATCCGCGATCGTCGGAACACTCGCCACACGATCGAGAAAATTTTTCGTCGGTATCTTCTTCGTTTATCATTTCGGTTCACTCACAGTGGACTTGCTTGTTTGTTCATTTTTCTTTGGCAGCAGCTGTATGTGTTCCATATAGTGTTATATATATATATATATATATATATATATATATATATATATATATAGAGAGAGAGAGAGAGAGAGAGAAAACACTATATGAAACATATATAGCTACTGCCAAAGAAAAATTTATATATATATATATATATATATATATATATATAGAATACTATATGAAACATATATAGCTACTGCCAAAGAAAAATTATATATACTACATACATAGAACACTGTATGAAACATATATAACTACTGCCAAAGAAAAATTTTATGTACTACATACATAGAACACTATATAGTTACTGCCAAAAAAATTATATATATATATATATATACACACACACACATATATATCAGGAAATTGGCTTTAATCGATTAAGAAAGTTAACTTGGAAAGGAGCGTTATTTTTGAGGTTCTTGCCTGCATGTTTCTCTCCTTTTCGTTTTCTTTCCGATGGATTCTTCGGATGGACTCTTGTAATAGAAAAACCTCGTGATGAAACGCGTTATTTAGAGCACCGTTCAGAGGCATGTCCACTTGCTTTGGTCTATTTCGTTATCCGTTTAGCAGCAACGGTATTTGGATTCGTGAATTGTTTATTAGATGTACCGCTTGCTGCATTTTTTTTCTGGAAACTTAACCACGCATTTGCAACACTAAAAAATTGCAAGATTAAAACCTTTTGAAAGACTGCAATAATTTTCCTTCTGTACTATTTTTACCAATATGCACAAGCTGCGGTTGGAAATTATATGCAATTTTTCGAAATTATCACGTACACGAGTGGAGTAAAATTTCTCGCTCGGAATAGATTACGACTTGAAATATTTAAATTACTGTCAATCAATTAAAATTTTACTACAAACTGGATACTTTTATACAGTATTGCGAGCGTTGTTGGTATTCAGTTTTTAAGACGTGATGCTCGATTGATCAAGGAAACCAGGATTGGGTGAATTTTATTTGAAACAAAGACAAAAGGTAACAATTTGGAACAACGAGTCATTATCAGTGATTTGTCCCTTTTGTTGAAAAAGTTAGTAATTTCATTACGTATCAAAGTCAAACAAATCGTGAATAACATTTTATTTGATTCACCGATTCGTCGAAATTAAATGACAGACAATCCGAAAAGTTCGTAGAACAGAATCAAAAATTAAATTTGACAAGTGAACAGAAACGTGCTCAAAATATATAAATATATAGTATATAATAAATATAAATATATAAATATATAGTATATAATAAATGTAAATATATAAATATATAATATATAATAAATATAAATATATAAATATATAATAAATATATTAAAAAAAGGAAATCCTGACAATTAAATTACCGAGTCATTCGCTGTAGAAATCATTCACTTGTTCAAATAAATTGACGTGGAATTACTTCAAGCAATGTCGAGCCAAACATAAGTAAGTTTAACATTTTTCAAATATTTTCAAATATTTATGTATTACAATATCTCTTATATCATTATATATCTATCGTTTCTCAAACATTCTATTCAACTTTCTTCTCATTCAGCTCAAGTTTGATCTGATATTGATAAGTGAAACTCAAAGTTACGAGATACGAATTGTTTGACGGCCATTATAAACAGCATTAACGACGTTTGCTTGTAACCGAATCAGTTGAATGGCGAGGAATATGCTAGCTGGAAGGAACGACATAACGATACCCCATCTAATTTAATTTTCCAAAATGCCCGGAAGCGGACTAGCTGTTTCAGCGGGCCGAACTTTGAAACTGTCATTAAAATTTAACATGGTACAGAAAATGGTACCTTCTACGCCAACGGCGGCTTTGATATACTGCATGGATCTTGATGTCTGTCGTGCAGGGAACTATCCATCATTAATGAAAATTCATCGTGCGATCGTCGTTGGTTGCTATTTTATTATTTAGGCAAAATTCAACTTCGACAATTTCGAGGTACTAGGTATTCCCTAGAAGGAATTTCACAATATTTACGGTAAAATGGCAATTTTATTCGTGCATCGTATTTATTTTTAATCAGTCAGAATATGTGTCGAAGAAAAAACAATTTGGACTTCTTATTGACACTAGAACTATCAAAATGGTCAAAATGACCACTTGATTATTTTCGTCGGTACATTAGATATAATTTTATAAATATTTTAGATATTTTATAGATGTAAAACAGTATGTTTTTTTGGAGAATGATCTTTTGTAAAATACATAAATAAAAACTTGTGTACCCTATTGTTTTCTGTTTCTGCTACTTTAACGCCTCTGATGGAAATTTTGTACTCTAAACGTTCTAGCGTAGCTCTAGCGTTAACTGTACAATCTTCGTTATAATTCAATGCATTTAACACTAGAACTGACCATCAGGTTGGTCAAAATGAGCAATTTGTAATTTTTTTCTAGATTTACGATGTTGCGTTTTCAATGATTTTTATAAAATGCACGAATGAAACAACTAAAATATAAAAATTTATAAATAGAAAATATCAAGGAAATTTGAGTGCAAGGAATAGGGGAAGGTTTACAATACAATTAAGGAACATGAGCTGTTATTCCTGCCGTTTTATTTTATAAAAATCATTCAGAACGCAACATATATTGTAAATCTAGAAAACTGCTTTTAAAAAAATGTTATAAATTGCTCATTTTGATTACTGTGGTAGACCTAGTGTTGAATAAGTTAGTTATATAAAGTGTTCTAAAGTTTAGTGGTCAGACTTCGCCATTTTTAGTGTTCCACAGACAAATATCACGTAACAAAGCTCATAAATGCTTCTTTAAAAAGTTATAACAATTACTGTATATAATTGGTCATAGAAATTTAGATCTTACATAGCTTAATTTTGCAATTTTTTATTTAATTTAATACTACTATTCATCTACAAACAATACACTGTGCAAAAGAGAAAAAAATTAAATATGTGTCCTTAAATTTTCGTAACTATTAAAAGAAAAATGAAACCTTTTTAATGTTCCCCATGCGTCCTGATGCAATATCAAATCTCATTTTCTTACTTCGATTTGTCAAAATCGTTCAATCGAAGTCGACGAAAGGAACGAACATGGCTTTTTATTTCTACGGATTTCGATCTTCATCGTCTTGCCATGCCCCATTAAATTTCGAATGAGAACAGAAAGAAAGAAGGGAAGAAAGAACGAAGGTAGGAGAATGAGGGACTTCGGAAAAAGGTCAATGGGTCGCTGCAGAGAGCTTTTTTCCCCGAGATTTAAATGTTACCGGATATTAAACTGGTCGGACGGAATATATAACCTTGCTCTTGGAAAATGTCAAATCGTTTGATTTTAATACCGCGCCAGTGTCAGTTCCAAACAGTTTCTTGCGTATACTTCTTCCCGAAGTATTACTCTGGCGAAATTCTTTTCTTCGACCGTTCTTCCCTTCAACAACCTCTCGAGTAGCTCCTCGCGGGAAACTTCGCGGAAATCACATTCAATTTCACCTTTCGGATCTTCCGGGGGTACCTTCGTACACCCTTCTCGTCCGTTTTTCTTTTACTTTACTTCTCGTTTTATTGGACGTTTGAAAAAATTAAGCACCGGATATATACGAGTGGAAAAGTTGAGCGAATCGTTCTCCACGACGTTCAGAGAACCGAAGGATTCTCAAACAATGGGAGACATTATTTAACTGTACGCGCGAGAAGAATTTCCGAACGGAGGGGACTCCGCGATGATTAATCGTGAAAATTCTCGTTTGAAATCCCTTGTCAACTGTTTCATGTTCGAAATAATAAAAAATTCGAAGGGAATCTGTTTCCTCTATGATTTATTGGCATATTCGTTTAACATTAGAGAACTCACACGTATACGCGC